TGGAAGGTAAGGTCCTGGGAATTGTTGTCGTTACCTTCACTTCATCCCTCCTTGATGTTTGCAGTCTTTGTCCTGAAAAATATTTGTATGGAGCAAGAGTGTAGCGGTGCAAGGGAGGGGGAGATTTCAGAGACGGCTGTGATAGGGCAGAATACCAGTTGTTCAGGAAGTGACCCCTCCATGGCTTTGAAACCCTGCTCTTGTCCCCATAGCTCGCTTTACTCACACAAACCCTGGTTTCTGTATCTCAGAAATAGAATTAAGGAATTGAGAGTATCGATCTTAATTTACATGATTCTAGATCATGACTTCATAAACTTTTTCTGTAATGCAGTAAGTTTCTTTGTTTTATTTGAGACAGGATTTCCCTGTCAAGCCCTGGCTGTCCTGGAACTCTCACTGTAGATCAGGCTGGCCTTGAACTCACAGAGATCCGCCTGCCTCTGCCTCCCAAGTGTAGGGATTAAAGGCATGCGCCATCACCGCCTGGCTCAGTTATTTGTATTTTAAGTTTTATAGGCTCTAGTGTCCATTGCAACAACTCACCTCGATCAGGAAGCCCAAAGCCTGACCAGAGTGCAGATGGACAGGAGCGGCTGTACTCCATCCACCATAGCTTTCCCCCAGGATGAGGGTTTGTTAGTTTGTTTTAGGGTCTTGCTATGTTGTCCAGGCTAACCCCAAACTCCTGAGCTCTAGCTATCCTCCTGCCTCAGCCTCCCAGTGAAAAGCTCTAGTTCAGTAAGACTTCACTTGCACCACACACAGTAATGCATACTTACAATTCCAGTAGTCTGGAGGCTGAGGCAGAAGGATCAGGATTTCAAGGCCTACCTGGGCTAGGTAGTGGGACACACTGTACCAGAAGACAAACAAAACACTTCACATAAAACGTGCGGACACTGAAATTTGAGTTTTGTATACTTTCCACATTTCCCTCCTAATTTTCCCTCCTCCCTTGCTTTAAAAATCACACATTGACTCCTCAGGGTGTCTTCTCTTCAGGAAGTTTCTCCCAGGCTAGGCTTTTGCTGCTCTGGGTCTCCTTGCCAGGTTCTAGAAACTCCTCTGGCAGAGTTCTCTATCCACCTTCCTCAAAAAGAGTCTATGAGCCCAGCATGACAAAACCTTGTCTACTCAGAAAATGGGTTAAGATATGGCATACAGAAGGAGCTTAATACTTAATGGATAAGTAGACTGGCAGCCTGACTGGGCTTTTTGTTTTGACTCCTAGTGCTGAGAACCAAACCAGGGGTCTTACACTTATCAGGTACCTCAGTTGCTGCCCCAGTGCCCTGAGGAGACACCATGACCAAGGCAGATTGTATAAAGAAAGCATTTCCTGGGGGCTAGTTTACAGTTTCAGAAGCTTCGTCCATGATCATTATGGCAGGAAGCATGATGGCAGGCAGGCAGGTGTGGTGTTAGAGCTGTAGCTGAGAGCTTTACATCCTGATCCAAGGGCAGCAGGCAGAGAAAGGAGACACTGGTGACACACCTTTCAGCAAGGCCATAGCTACTCCAGGAAGGCTACACCTCCTAGTCCTTCCCCACAGTTCCACTCCCCAGTGACCAAGCATTCAAATATATGAGCCTGTGTGGGCCATTCTCATTCAGACTGCCGCACTAGGGTTATTGACTCACCCACTAAGTTTCTCCCTGACCCTCTTTTTACTTTGAGACAAGGCCCCACTAAGTTTCCCAGGATAGCCCTGAGCTTACACTGTAACCCAGAGAAGCTTTGAACTTGTGACACCCTCAGCCTATACCTTCATCTCCAGAGTGCCTGGAATTACAGGACTTGATTCCACAGAGAGGTAAACTTACTGTCTCCCTGTGTGTGGGGGGTATGTGGCACAGACTCTAAGAGGTGAGCAAGACTTGAGTTTATTGTGACGTTTCTCAAATTTAAGAGCATCTTCCATTAAAATGTAGTTTTCTTTTTGAACATTTACTTCAGTCACACATTGATCAAAACTCTATAGAAAGCCATGCCGAGTCCTGGATCCGATTCAATCTCTCACCCTGTTGCCTTCACTCACCTCTTAGGTAATCTTCTTATAGCCGGTTTATCTTCCCAGCTGTTGTTTTATAATCCTAGGTGCACAGGCATGGTTTTTTTGGTGCTCTCTTTTCTACAGTAGCCTACCTTAAACAATGATTTGCATTTACTTGGTACTTACGGGATCCTGGTAATCTTTCTGTATTAGTACATGGTGAGTATACAATAGCTTATTCTATCAGTCTCATTGCTGGGCACATTAGTTTTCAACTTCTTTTGCATTTATATATTCATATTTATTTTGGGGACAGGGTATCTCTGTGTAACTCTAGCTGGCCTAGAACTCCCTCTGTAGACCAACCGGAAACTCACAGAGATCTAATTGCCTCTGCCTCCAGAGTGCCGTGATTGAAGACATGTACCACCAGGCCTATCTACTTTGATTTTATTAATTATAGTGTATGTCACACTTCACACTAAGGCAGAAGCAGGCAGGAGTTTTCAAGTCACCTAACTATACAAATCAAGTCATTGGCTAAGGGGCTAGCCTTGTATATGTTTGTGTGTGGGGGTCTTCACTGTGAGTCACTGAGAATGGTTGTTTTCATAGGCATAGGACTGTGATTGGGTGTGTTTGTGGCATGTTGGGGGTGACAGCCAGGAGATAGTAACTGGCTAGCTTTGTTCTTAGAGGAACACTGAGTCTCCTATTGTGGTAGGGCAGACAGGATGCTCCTATGGGCTAGACTTAACTGCCTCTTTTGGGGTGCTCCCCATTCAGGATGGCTGGAATATTCTCAACTTCTTAATTGTCTTTATGTTGTTCCTGGGGTTATTCATAAAACAACTTGATGTAGTTGCTGTCACCTACCCTCTCAGGTGAGTTGAGAGCTCTGAAGGTAAGAGGGGTATCTGTCTGGACCCCAGGAGTGAGAAGGAAAGTCCTTACCAACTGGGGCTCAGCTCTGCCTCTTTGGTAAGCTGGTGGGAGGAAGGCAACAAGGAGGAAGTGGTCTGGGAAGGGTCAAGGGGCACCCCTGAAAGGCTCTTCCACAGGGCTCTTCGGCTGGTACATGTGTGCATGGCAGTGGAGCCCCTAGCCAATATCATTCGGGTCATCCTGCAGTCGGTACCTGACCTGGCCAATGTTGTGGCCCTCATCCTCTTCTTCATGCTGGTCAGTATCTCCCAGGCCCCAGCCTGTCTCCTTCCCTGAATGGAACCTGTAGGGCAGAAGGTGGGGATGGACACCCAGAGAAGCAAGGGGCTTGGGTCTGAATCCTTGTGGGTCCCTGGAAGCATTTATTTGCATTAATCTGCATGTCTTGTCAAGTTCCAAGGCCACTGGGTGAGGTTAGGTGGGTTTTGGTGTCTTTGACAGGTATTCTCTGTGTTTGGGGTCACACTCTTTGGTGCATTTGTGCCCAAGCATTTCCAGAACATGGGGGTTGCCCTGTATACCCTCTTCATCTGCATCACCCAGGATGGATGGCTGGACATCTACAGTGACTTCCAGTGAGTGTGGGTAGGGCTCTTGGGCTTCATCCCCTTCTGGCTAGGGAAGGGCTGGAGTTCTAGCAGATGAGGCAAACTATGAGAGGGGGCTCCTAGGACTTGGATGAAGCTGGCCTCA